GTTCGGTCTCTAGGCAAACAAAACAGAACAAAATGAAAAACAAACAAACCAACAAATCAAAACACAGAGAGAGATAGAGGAGAGAGAGCAGGTTTAAGCCTTTTACTGCTGTTAGGGGTAATGACAGAGCCTACCGAGTAGAAGGTGATGCTGAGTCATAACATCTAGTGTGGCAACCTTGCTTGGATAGCAGGAGCGGCTAAATTACCTTAAAGATTGAGGAGCAACCTGATTTTGGGGTTGCGCTAGCTGGATGGGTCAGTGTTCTATGGCTAGGCTTAGTGATGGATTGAGATGATTCAGTCTGGATCCCGTGGCAGCTCACTGTGATCCGCCTTGGAGGCAACTGTCACTTCACCACCTAAGCACTAGAGGGAGTGTTACCTATAGGTGAACAAAATGGCTAGAATACAGAAATTAACTTTAAATTTGAATTCAAACACTGTTTAAACTAAATTTAAATAAGTGAGTGGTAAAGTGAGAGAGAAAAGGGGGAGAGAACCCTGATTAAAAATAAAAAAAATAAAATAAAAAAGGGAACAAAACAAACAAAATAAACAAAATTATAAAAGTAATAAAAGATAATAAAGTGAAACAAAAATAGTACTGGATATGAAAACCTAATACAAAAACAAGAAATACAAATAAATGAACAAATAAAATTAAAAATGAAACTGCAGGTAACTAGAATTGCTAGAAGGATAATGACCAATGAAGCAGAAGGGAAACTAAAATCAAACAAATGAGAGTACCAAGTCGACCTAGCAGAGAATGCCCACAAGGGGGAGTGGGTGCGCCCACCCAAGGTGAAAACAGGAAGGTAGAAGGAGTTCAAGAAGTGTTAGATACTTAAACAGCCTGCCCTCTAGTGTTAGTTTAAGGTACTGTGCCTTAACTCCAATCGTGTTCAAACTGATCGCGTTTAGTGTGAGACTATTCTCATTCTAACGGAATTTTACTGCAGTTATCACAAGAACACTGAGAGTCAAATCCCAACAGATTCTACAATTTGTGCAACTTAACTGCACAATGATGTGTGTGGCAGGATTTCTTCGCTGCCAGTACACAAATAAACACTAAGAACAACAGGGTTTCTTCGCTGTTGCTATGCAAATTTCACTTGATCAAGGTTTTAAAAGCTCCCATTTACATTTCAATCAGTCTACTGGCTCGCCGTGTTCTGATCCAATCTGCATTAGGCAGGCATTAGATAGCTACTCTGATGGTTAAACCTAAGGGAGTGTGATCTTAGTTGAATGACATTGGAAAACGCAATGACTTCAATCTAGGATCCAATCAAAATAAGGCCTTTAAAAGATGATAAGAGGAGCATCGCTGAAATCTATCTTTATCGCAATGCAGGAAGATTTCTTCGTTCCAACAGGCGATTTTGATAATATTAAAATGTACTGTAAAGAGATTCCTTCGTCTTTAGAGAACAATTTTAATATTATGAACTGCAGTTTACTTTAACAATTAACAGTGACTAAATGTTAGACAAATAGAGGCTGTTAAAATACAGTACTGGAGGTGGCTTTTAACCATCCAATCCAAAAGAGTGAGTTCGCGCTGCGACTTGTCTCACTCTAAGTACTGAATTGCATTTGATTTATTCATTCAATATTTGACGAATTCCGTGACATTGCTCGTCACACAGTAACCTTCTGTTGTGTAGCATTTTCAATGTACAAAAATTAAAGGGTTTGTTTAATTTTCATTTGGAATAAAAGATAGATTAATGTTTTTGCCTTCATTTGATTACCAGAAAACTGAAAATACACAACATAGAATTTCTAAAAAAATTTCATAGGGCCCTATTATTGTATAAAATTAATAAATTAAGTTGTTTTTATGAATTCAATTAATTATATATGTTTTTGATTAAACCATTCAAATGGAATACAGAAAAATTTAAATGGAAAGCGCAGAATTTGGGCCATAAGAATGTAATTTTTGTTAAACTTTTAATAGGCCTAAATTGCTGTTAAATTAAACAAGTTTCATGATTTTAATTAATTAGACATGTTTTTT